TATACAAAATATGTGTATTCACAAGTCCATTCTCGTTACTCGACTTATTTAATTCCGTCATTGACTAACGCGATTTAAGTCGATGATGATTATATACGAGGATAGGCGATAACAAATATTCATACGGTCTAATTGGAGAGCCCATCAACAAACATCGTCCGATCTAAATGACAACAAATAAAATGGCTCCACTAAAATATATTCAAATCCAATAAAAAACCATCTGTTGATTAGTGCTTAACTTGAACCGAATTAACTGACAGTTACCTATAACCATTTAATGTCTTAGCAGAGTGCAGACTATATTCAATCACTTGGACAATAAACACAATAGGATTTTGATGCATATAATTTGATGAGTATCAAAGAACTAGACAAACATGACATGGATTATTACCTTAATGGTCAATTAACTAGAAAAAAATCTACATTCCTCATCTTATAATTATACTCAATAGGAGATAAAAAATATTTCTTCATTCATTCACTCATTCAATATTTCAATTATTACTATGCATTCAGAGTAATAAACAAATTCATAAAGAATATAATAAGAAGGAATATTCATTATTATTATTATTATTATTATCATTATTATTATCATTTATAATGACATTAATTACCTACATGTGTATAGATCGTTGATTTATTTCCCTCCCTCCCTCACTCACTCACTCACTCACTCACTCACTCACTCACTCTCTCTCTCTCTCTCTCCCTCTTGTTCTCACGAAATCAATTTTTAGTCATTGATTTTAATTTTCATTAAACTAATTAATTAGATAAAATCTTTCATTGAGATAGTAATAACTATGATATCACTATTATGAATAATAATAATAATAATAATAATAATAATGGTAATAATAATAATAGGAACTAAACAGTTCTAATGATAATAATATTACTACTAATAATAGTAATCATAATGATAATAGGGTAATGGAAAACTCAATTCAAATTAAATTTCCCTTAATAGTTTTTTTTTACGTATTACATTTTCCCTCTCTAATTAAAATGAAAAACAATAAACAACTAAATGATTCTTTTATTTATTTATTTATTTATTTATCTCAAAATAAATGGATTCAAACAAAATTAATTGATAAATATCAATAATGAGTTCATCTTTTTTTATTATTATTTTGGCTTGAGTTATATTATAACAAGTTATATTAACTATATCATATTAGTATCATTGTAAAAAGTGTGTATGTTGTATGCGTGTACGTGTACGTGTACATTTGAAGAATAAGTTTCAAATGAAAGAGAGGAGTTTTGTGGAGATTATAGTAATTTAATTGTTGAATTCATTAGTCAATTGAAGCTAGATCATCATAGAAAACTTGAAAGAACTAGACGACTGTTTCGTTCTAGTATGGGACTGTTGAGCAGTGCGCATCCCTTTCTGATCATAATCATCATATATTCCCTAGTGACTAGTTTTAAGAGGTATTTCTTTGAGTTCTAGTAAGAAGCAGTAATCAGTGGAGTTCAACCAGGTCTGTTGTGGGATAGTAACTGATTGAAGACAATGGTGGAGGGTGACACAACTTCGTAGATTGGTTGAAGTTGGACATTAACACCGACGGATTCCGGCCGGATCAAAGGTCTGGATGTTAAGACGTCGCGCGATACTGATAGGTCTTGTGTTCGAATCTCGCGTAGGGAGGTGGGATCGTGAATGCGCACTGCTGAGAAGTCTAACAATGGTACGAAACGGCCGTCCAGTGCTTCTAGGATTTTCATGGTTGTCTAGCTTCAACTGACTCATGAATTCAACAATTAAATTGAAATAAAAGTTTTTTGGGGGGGGGGGAGGGAATAATAACTTTAAGCAATCCATGAGCTTGTAAAACTGATGAAGTCAAACAGTATAGTATTACGATAAGAATATGTTTGGATTAAATTCAACTTTTTTATGTCACAATCTGGATTTCATTTACTCCAGTATTAAACTACTGATAATAAGTTGTTGGAAGGAACTTTGAAAGATATTAAACTCAAAATATTGATATAATGTTCAGATGATGGACAATCCAGGAATTTACAATGAAAAAGTTAGTCATTTACTAGTTAAAATGAATTAGTCGACAAATCAGCTTTTTTGTCTCTTTATGGGTGTAATCAACCTGATTTTGTGAATTAACATAATTTTGACTAATGTATTACTTAATTAACATTAAGAGATATAAATCATTCAGACATAGTTCGTTAAATAATCTGCCTTGTTCGATGGAAAGTCGTGTGAAGTTGAACAAACTTTACACTAGAATTACTCAATTATAGTGAGTTCACTGTATATGAGCTTTTATATAGATTATCGGAATAGCAATAAAACTCCATAACTGATGTATTTCAACTATATCTGGAATGAGAACCTTATCCATAGATAGCCCTGAATGATATTTAAATGTAGATTTTCAGATTTTGAATTAATAGTCTAGGTATATCATTATCACATAGTAATCTTTATACGATGAAGTTTACAGTGAGACATTAATGGTATATTTCAAACAATTACTTTGCAACTGTCCAGTATTTGTTGGTTTCAAGGTATTTCTAAACTGGTATTCTATACTGAAAGTTATTTCAATGTAGATTTGATGGATAATTTTAATATTCTACGATATATCAGTAGTCATCTGGCTTTTGTAGAATCCTATGATTTATCTATACGATGTCAGTATAATGATTATGTTTAATGATAATCTTTTGGAAGTTATCTAACATAACATTGAAATGATTTTCATTGTAACCTGATTGCTTAAATATTGACGAATTATTTGATTAAATTAAAATAAGGTATATATGGAATGCTAAACTACTGACTATACATAGATGGATTCATATTGATTTTGTTATGTTGATGTGAACTATTGTTGATTTCTGTTATGTCTTATGGTCCGTTGAATATCACATAGAGAAATCACCAATCAGAACTCTAACTTATATGACTTTTCCATCTGCTAAATCAATTATGCTTTAGCCAGCACGACTAGTTTAGAGTTAACTCTAAGTCCTTATTGGTCCTGAAATGTGTAATTTCCAGTCTAGCCTAGCCCGTTCAATTCAGAGCACAATCTTAACCTTCGCTGTGTGAATTGTATATTTCAGACATACGTGGTTTATGTCTAAGCAAATTTTTGAAATATTTAATATATAATGTGTCCTATGAATCAACTAAACGTGATCGCGTTTCGGTAAGCTTTATGTGTGTATATGTAAATCCAAATACATTAATAGCCAAATAACGATATTTACTCAATGTTATTTCCTACAAGGCGGTCTCGTAGGGTCTAGTACTATGTCAAGCCCACAGCGGTTATTCTAGCTTTATGAAGGCCTCCATATTTCAGGGGAAGCACAGAATACAATGGACAACATGAATTCAGATGGACGATTTGGATTTTGCAAATGACCTAGCTCTTCTATCCCATACACACCGACGAACGCAGGTCCAGACAGCCAGTGTAGCAGCAGAAGCAAGGGAAAATGACAGATCCTCAAATACAACACATATGACACCAACCCACTTATACTAGATCGAGAACCTGTGAAATAGGTCAAAACGTCCACATATTCGGGCAGAATCATAGATGAACAAAAGAGATCTGATGCAGATGATAAGATAAAGATTGTAAAACCAAAGATAGTATTGCTCCATTTGAAGAACATATGGAACTCAAAACAACTCTCAACCAATATCAATGTCAGGATCTTCAATACGAACGTCATCACAGTTCAAGTGTATAGAGCTGAAACTTGGAGATTTACCACAACTATCATCAAAAATGGTGTAAGTATTTATAAGCAACTGTCTACTGAAGGTACTCAATGTTCATTGATCGGATACCATCAGCAACAGCCTACTGTGGGAGAGAACAAACTAACTTCCAACTAAAGAGAAAATTAGAAAAAGACGCTGTGGGTTGACAGGACAAACACTGTTGAAATCATCGATCTTCATCACAAGGTAAGCCCTAAATTGGAATCCTAAAGAGGAGAGGAACAGAGGAAGACCAACAAACGCATTACATCGGGAAATAGAAGCAAATATGAAAAGGATGAATAGTAACTGGAAAGAACTGGAAAGGATTGCCCAAGACAGGGTTAGATGGAGAGTGCTAATTGGAGGCCTATGGTCCTCCACGAGAGTTAACAGGCGTAAGTAAGTAAGTACTATTTCTGAGATTTTCGTTAGTTGAAATTATTTGACACGATGCCTTAGTCAATCTAAGTAGCAATCCAGTTGTTACCGTTTAGTAAAGTATACCTGAAATTTTAAATTAATACTTCCCGTTTGGTCCGAACTATGCCTAACACAATTTATCATTTTAAAACATAATCATTAAGCTGATTCCATGATTCAACTAATCTACAACAACAACAACAACAAAAACATGAGATAGTTTGTGAAAAATATACTACAAATACCTACTCAAGATACTCTCACCTTTTTTTAATAGAAACAAAAGAAGGATTCAATAAAACAGGAAATGATTTATAGTAAATCTTAGAGAAGAACAAGGTATAAAGGAATTACATTATACTATCTATTTAATAGCATATCTTAGTTTATATAACTAATAAATTATATTGTATATAATTATAGACATCATATTCTCTCTTTGTATGTTATGTAGGTTGAGTGATGGTATTTTGTTTTCATCTTGTCTTCATCCTCCTCATTATCTTTTTGCTTACTTTTTCTAGATTTTCCATTTAAATCTTTCTGTTTTCTATTCTCATTTCACTGATCCAATTTTATTGTTAACTTGTGTAAGCGTATAGACGTTTTAATGTTTTCACTACTCATTATTATCTTGTTTTAAGTAACATGTGTTGTTTCTTCGTCTGTGAGTATATTTACATATATATACACGCATATATACTTATATATACATTTATATATCAATGAACGTGTGTAAAATTGATATTGTCTATTCTCATGAGAGTTTACTTCAATTTCGCTTGGTTTATTGTTAATCTACATGTTTTCACAATTCTGTTTGGTCGTTCTCTTGTGTTAATTCGCAAATTTGCTTTTTTGTTGTTGTTGTTGTTGTTGTTGTTGTTGTTGTTGGTGGTGGTGGTGGTGATATACATATATGTATAGTAGTTAATGTATTGATGCATTTACGTACCGTATTCTTTATGTTAAATTTATTTCAATCACATCATTATTATCATCATCATCATCATCATCATCTTTCTTTGTGATGATCATATCACAACACAGAAAATTTAGTTGAACATAATTTCAAAGGAAAGTGAGATTAAAAAAAAAAAAGAAGTTGGCAAAATTTGTTTTAGACAGTCATGTTTCGTGTTTTCTTGTTCTTTTTTATTGTTGTTGTTGTTGTTGTTTTCACTCTTCTATAAATGAATCTTTTATCTACTTTTATGATGCATAGTTTTTTTTAATTATTATCTTATCATGGTTTTTCAACTTGAGTAGGCAATTATTCGCTATAATGGATACAGAATCTTAAATGAGACTTAACACTAGCTAGTTATTTTGATGCATCAATAATTAAATTATAACTGTCAGTGTTAAGTCGTATTCATGAGGATTTTTCATTGTTCCTCTTCTTTTTTTTCTTTATTTATGAAGTCGACATTCATAAAGATTGATTCTTTTTGTTAACTTTAACTATATCATATTTGCTGTCTTCAGCTATTCTATTTGGTTATCAATGTGTTTTTTGTAATTGGGATTAGTTGTGCCTTGGACAATTGTCAAGCACAATGAAGTGAATATCCTAAGTGGCAAATAAAGATTTAAAGAAGACGAAAGAAATTCAGAGAAAAAAACATTTTTTGATGATAGAATAGATGAGTTCAGAGGTTTCAAATATCCAAAACATGGTTGCATAGCCATTTGGAGGTTAGTGAAGAATTTGAAGATGAAAATCATTTACGAGAAAAAAGTGATTAAGTCGCTCGTTGTCTTCGAACACATTGTTCAGATTGAAATTGATGAAAGCTTCAGCGATGTACAAGTTTTTGATTTGATCACCTTTTTTTCCTACTCCTTCAGCCGTGTATAGGATGTTGATGGAATAACTTGATTGGAGTTTACAAGTGTTATATCGCGATAAGAATAATGAATGATAACTGTCGGAATCTATTTCTGGACTAATATTATATTCATATTTTTTATCATATAATTGTTAAGTAATTCAACTACCCATATTTGTGTCTCTCGTTTTATGAGCTTTATTGTGACCTGTGAACTATTATTATGAGGTTTACTATTCTTGAGTTATACCCAGTCTATTAATTACTACCTCCCATAATCACAGCCACGTTTGGTTAAATCTTATACAAATGTTAGTTTCTATTTTATGATACAATGTGGTCTATTTGGTTTGTATATAAACCCAATATGTTTGAAATACACGATTCATATTTTAAAGGCAGAGCTAAACAGCAATTAAGACCGATAAGGACTCTAAACTGCTCATACGGGTTTTATACATCATTGTTCCGATCGATAACTCAATATTCACTAATATAACACAGGGAACAAATTACAACAATAAGCTAGTGATTATTTTGTATTTGTTGTGCCGGAAAAAAAAGATCACTTATACTCGGAACGAGGGACCACGGCAATTCCCGCGATGAGAAAGTAAGAACAAAAAGACTGGTATAAGTGAAGATTTATTAGCCCCAAACACTATGATAACGACGAATCGAATATAGTCTAAAATACACTCATTTATATATTGATTGTACACCCATTTTGATTAATAATTAGGATTAGATCACATACTCAGTTATAACAAATCACTTACTGACCATAGTTCATGTCAACTGAATACAAGAATATAGTATAGTCACAATTGATTGATCACTGGGTGGTGATCAATGTCATGCTTGTCTAGTCCTTATTAGTGCAGATCGAATGCAATGTGGCCACCAGTCTAGGTGACTCGACACTGCGGGCACTATGTATTGAGATTAGATGGTGGTTTGAGGTAGTCAACAGGAAACCCTGGACCAGGGTTTCGTGCTACTTGGCACATTGATCACCACCCAGTGATCAATCAATTGTGATTACATCTCAGTCCTACAGGAGGTCAGTCGCGGCTCGGATAGCTCAGTGTTAACGTCTCTGACTGTGAAGCTGGGTGACACGAGATCGAATCCTCCAGGGACCACCAGTTTCCTCAAGATTACAGGTACACCTTGCTGACGAGTGCCAAGTAGCACGAAACCCGGTTCCAGGGTTTCCTGTTGACTACCTCCAAACACCATCTAATCTCAATATCGTATAGTACACAGGAGAAAATATCATACTGGAAAAACAATCAAATAATCCACTGAATGACCATCACATTGAATCAAAACGGATGTATTATTGAATAAAACTCATAATGGGTAATTCAATCGAAAATTGACTTTTATTTCCATCATATCAAGCAATTATTAATCTACTGGGTATAACTCGGGTCCTAACAGTATTCTCCTCTTAACAATTGTATAATGTTATAATGTTTTTCTCTTCAAAAATGAGTTTAGCTTGTATTCAACAGGAATTTGTATACATTTTGGAGAATGAACTAAACGAAAGAAAATTATTTCTTCAATTCAATATTACTTTAGATTACAAATAAAATAAAGACTGACATTCAACAACAAGAACATCTTACTAGATGAATACAGTCAAAAAGAAAGAAAAAAGAAGAATTTTGAAAATCAACTAATTGAATAGAATAGAAAAACAACATTGAGTAGGACTCTTAACATCCTTTGTAAATTAGGGAAAGTAATAATAATAATAATAATAATAACAATAATAATAGTAATGACAGTACTGACAAACGGAAATTGTTCCTAATTGAAAACCGGTGAATAAATAAAAAAGTTGTGTTCTCGCGTGGTTTTTTTTTATTTTTTAAAATTTTTTTGGTTTTCAATTTTTTATTTTCATTTTCGAAAAATGGAGGAGGTTGTCTTTAGTTTAAATTTTTTTTCAGCACTTGTGGTTAATCGTCTATTTATTTATTTATTTGATTGTTCTTTTCTCTTTTTTTTCTTTTTTTTTTGCTGAAAAATTCCGCTTGTTCAGTTTTTAAAATCACAACAATAAAATGATCTTAAATGAACATTGAATAGTGTGTGTGTTTGCTTGTTTGTTTGTTTATGTGTGTGTGTGTGGGGGGGGGGTAGCAACAGGGTGAGCAAAAGAACAAACACAAAATACAATTTATTAAAAGAAAAAAAAAGAAAAAATAATAAAAATAAAAAAATAAACGTTTTTTTCTAACTTTCTATCCTGTTTGAAAATGATTAATACTAAATTTTTTTTCGATTACATAATGGTTAAGAAGGTTCTTACAATAATGATGAATAAAATTGAGCAGATAATAGTGATAATACAAATTGGGGGAATACTCATCAATTCATAATGTGTATTTAGCAAAAAGAAATAATTGCTTAGTAATAGATAAATGGTAATAGTAATGAAAAGAGATTTCAAATTAGTTAGTTGTATTACTGTTCATTTTTTTTTCTTTTTGTTGTTGTTAAAGAAATCAACTATTGAACTACTTAATAGTCAAAAAGAAATCACTATTCAACCTCAAGTAACTGGGTTGTTTTTTTCAATATAAAGTTTTATTTCAATGGTTGAGATCATGAGTCAATACAAGCTAGACCAACATGGAGAACATGGAAGTACTGGACGACCGTTTCATCCTATTGTAGAACTTCTTAGCAGTGCGCATCCACAATTCCGTCTCGCGGGATTTGAACACAGGAGCTGTTAGTCTTGCGTGCGAACGCTTAACCACAAGAAGAAGAAAAGGCTAACCAGTGCTAGTCCTAGAATAAACTATATCAAACTAGATCCTACTGAATCTTTACAACAAGAATTAACTTTATTTAGGTACTTATTATGAAAATAGAATACACTAACTTAAGGAAATAATATCGAAGAGAGTAATCAAAACTGCAGACGAGAATTCACTTTAATTTTAATTACTCCAGTAAGTTTATAAATCTAGTTCGTTGGTTGATGGTAGTCTACAGAAATCTCTGTTCGACGTAGATTCCACTTTAGTTAAAACTCATCAATAAAGAATATTACAATCATGAGGATACATTTTATTCCTTGTAGGATTGAAACTTATGTTACCAAGCATTATATTTTAAATGTTCTATTAAGCGAAATAGATACAAAAGCACTTTTATACAATTCTATGTAGATTTACTGAATATAAAAGAACACTGATTTTCTAAGAAATTCCACTGTAGTGAACGAGAACATCAAGTGGGAACAACCAAATGTCTTTGAATACAAATCATACTAAAATCAGAGAACCGTACATTAAGTACTTAGTTTGCAAAATATCCCTCAACTGTCTCAGACTTCACTGTTCCTTTTGCGAAATGTCAATCAATCGTCTCGGACTTCACTGTTCTTTCATTTCCACACCAATTATTCCTTGTTCTCGTTCTCTTTTTTTCGATCTTCTTAACCTTTATGCTGACAGACATTTCACTTTTGATTGATGATACATACTACTTATATCTGTTCATATCCGTAGCACCCACCACACTATCATGTTCATCATAAGTGTTTCCTATGTTTGTTTATTTTTTAACGGTTACATTAGAAAGGTCTAACAATTTAAACTAATTATTGAAATAGTCATAATAATAAGGCAAAACTACAAAAAAGAAAACAAATTTCGAAGCTATGTGATAGAGAAATCACTTAATTATGTGATATAATCTTATCGATAATAATAGGTTGAATAGAAAATTGATCATTTCCCCCCTAGTTTCATCCACGTTTTACAATCATAATAATAAGTTACTGATTTTTTTAAATTTCACAATTGAGTTTATCATTTTTTTAATATGTATTCGACTTGTATTTTAACTATTAAGATAAATAAAACAGCGAACAAATGACAAAACTGGTTAGGTTATTGAGGAGTAGATAAATTAAAGAGAGTAAGTGAATGAGGAAAAAAATGTGATAACGGCTTCTTACTAGAACTCCAGGAGTATCTCTTGAAGTCAGTCACTAGTGAGCAGATGATTATTATTAGAAGGAGTTTTGTAGAGATTTTAGAAATTTCACTGACTGAGATCATGAGTTAATTGAAGCTAGACCACCATGAAAAACCTGGAAGCACTGGACGGCCGTTTCGTCCTAATATGGGACTCCTGGGTTCGAATCTCGTGGGGTGTAGGATCGTGGACGCGCACTGCTGAGGAGTCCCATACCAGGACGAAACGGCCGTTCAGTGCTTCCAGGTTTTCCATGGTGGTCTAGCTTCAACTGACTCATGATTTCAGTCAGTGAAATTTCCAAAATCCCCACAAAACTCCTTCTGATAATAATCATCTTCTCACTAGTGACTGATTTCAAGAGATACTCCTGGAGTTCTAGCGAGAAGCCGTGACCAGTGTAGTTCAACCACGTCTGTTGTGAGATATCAGCTCACTGTAGACAATGATGTACGGTGGCGCAACTTCGTGGATCGGTTAAAAAGATATGAGACTGAAATTTACAGAAGCCACATTTAATACATTTTACTGTTGTTTTCTTCTTTTTTTTGTTTTCTCTCTTACTGAAGTCATAAAATTATTGACTTTCTATGTGTTCAATATATCTGGTAGTTAATGCTTAACCATGACTTAAGTGAATCACTTGGGTAAATCTGCGTATTCTATTTCATTTCTATGAGAAAATAGAAATGAGATTTTTAAGAATTCATGTATTCATTTACTATTTGTGATTGATGCTGATATGATTGCAAGATACTTAATAACCCTTGGTTAGATACCACGAAGAACAGTCTACTGTTGATGAGGACATACCAGCTTCCAGCTGAAGAGGAAATTAGGAAAAGTAGTTGAAAGTTGATAGAACATTTGTTACTGAAATCACAAAACTGCACTAACCTGGAATCCTGAAGGGAAACGGAAAAGGGGAAGACCGAAAAACACCACGTCGGGAATTGGAAGCAGACATGAAAAGAATGAATAGAAACCGAAAAGAATTGGAAAGTATTGCCCAGGAGAGGGTGTTCTAAATATGCTTCTCGACGAAGGGTAGCAGGCGTATTTAAGTAAGATCATCATCATCATCATCATCATCATCATCATCATCATCATCATCATCATCATCATCATCATCATCATCATCATCATCATCATCATCATCATCATCATCATCATCATCATCATCATCATCATCATCATCATCATCATCATCATCATCATCATCATCATCATCATCATCATCATCATCATCATCATCATCATCATCATCATCATCATCATCATCATCATCATCATCATCATCATCATCATCATCATCATCATCATCATCATCATCATCATCATCATCATCATCATCATCATCATCATCATCATCATCATCATCATCATCATCATCATCATCATCATCATCATCATCATCATCATCATCATCATCATCATCATCATCATCATCATCATCATCATCATCATCATCATCATCATCATCATCATCATCATCATCATCATCATCATCATCATCATCATCATCATCATCATCATCATCATCATCATCATCATCATCATCATCATCATCATCATCATCATCATCATCATCATCATCATCATCATCATCATCATCATCATCATCATCATCATCATCATCATCATCATCATCATCATCATCATCATCATCATCATCATCATCATCATCATCATCATCATCATCATCATCATCATCATCATCATCATCATCATCATCATCATCATCATCATCATCATCATCATCATCATCATCATCATCATCATCATCATCATCATCATCATCATCATCATCATCATCATCATCATCATCATCATCATCATCATCATCATCATCATCATCATCATCATCATCATCATCATCATCATCATCATCATCATCATCATCATCATCATCATCATCATCATCATCATCATCATCATCATCATCATCATCATCATCATCATCATCATCATCATCATCATCATCATCATCATCATCATCATCATCATCATCATCATCATCATCATCATCATCATCATCATCATCATCATCATCATCATCATCATCATCATCATCATCATCATCATCATCATCATCATCATCATCATCATCATCATCATCATCATCATCATCATCATCATCATCATCATCATCATCATCATCATCATCATCATCATCATCATCATCATCATCATCATCATCATCATCATCATCATCATCATCATCATCATCATCATCATCATCATCATCATCATCATCATCATCATCATCATCATCATCATCATCATCATCATCATCATCATCATCATCATCATCATCATCATCATCATCATCATCATCATCATCATCATCATCATCATCATCATCATCATCATCATCATCATCATCATCATCATCATCATCATCATCTCATCATCATCATCATCATCATCATCATCATCATCATCATCATCATCATCATCATCATCATCATCATCATCATCATCATCATCATCATCATCATCATCATCATCATCATCATCATCATCATCATCATCATCATCATCATCATCATCATCATCATCATCATCATCATCATCATCATCATCATCATCATCATCATCATCATCATCATCATCATCATCATCATCATCATCATCATCATCATCATCATCATCATCATCATCATCATCATCATCATCATCATCATCATCATCATCATCATCATCATCATCATCATCATCATCATCATCATCATCATCATCATCATCATCATCATCATCATCATCATCATCATCATCATCATCATCATCATCATCATCATCATCATCATCATCATCATCATCATCATCATCATCATCATCATCATCATCATCATCATCATCATCATCATCATCATCATCATCATCATCATCATCATCATCATCATCATCATCATCATCATCATCATCATCATCATCATCATCATCATCATCATCATCATCATCATCATCATCATCATCATCATCATCATCATCATCATCATCATCATCATCATCATCATCATCATCATCATCATCATCATCATCATCATCATCATCATCATCATCATCATCATCATCATCAGCATCATCATCATCATCATCATCATCATCATCATCATCATCATCATCATCATCATCATCATCATCATCATCATCATCATCATCATCATCATCATCATCATCATCATCATCATCATCATCATCATCATCATCATCATCATCATCATCATCATCATCATCATCATCATCATCATCATCATCATCATCATCATCATCATCATCATCATCATCATCATCATCATCATCATCATCATCATCATCATCATCATCATCATCATCATCATCATCATCATCATCATCATCATCATCATCATCATCATCATCATCATCATCATCATCATCATCATCATCATCATCATCATCATCATCATCATCATCATCATCATCATCATCATCATCATCATCATCATCATCATCATCATCATCATCATCATCATCATCATCATCATCATCATCATCATCATCATCATCATCATCATCATCATCATCATCATCATCATCATCATCATCATCATCATCATCATCATCATCATCATCATCATCATCATCATCATCATCATCATCATCATCATCATCATCATCATCATCATCATCATCATCATCATCATCATCATCATCATCATCATCATCATCATCATCATCATCATCATCATCATCATCATCATCATCATCATCATCATCATCATCATCATCATCATCATCATCATCATCATCATCATCATCATCATCATCATCATCATCATCATCATCATCATCATCATCATCATCATCATCATCATCATCATCATCATCATCATCATCATCATCATCATCATCATCACATCATCATCATCATCATCATCATCATCATCATCATCATCATCATCATCATCATCATCATCATCATCATCATCATCATCATCATCATCATCATCATCATCATCATCATCATCATCATCATCATCATCATCATCATCATCATCATCATCATCATCATCATCATCATCATCATCATCATCATCATCATCATCATCATCATCATCATCATCATCATCATCATCATCATCATCATCATCATCATCATCATCATCATCATCATCATCATCATCATCATCATCATCATCATCATCATCATCATCATCATCATCATCATCATCATCATCATCATCATCATCATCATCATCATCATCATCATCATCATCATCATCATCATCATCATCATCATCATCATCATCATCATCATCATCATCATCATCATCATCATCATCATCATCATCATCATCATCATCATCATCATCATCATCATCATCATCATCATCATCATCATCATCATCATCATCATCATCATCATCATCATCATCATCATCATCATCATCATCATCATCATCATCATCATCATCATCATCATCATCATCATCATCATCATCATCATCATCATCATCATCATCATCATCATCATCATCATCATCATCATCATCATCATCATCATCATCATCATCATCATCATCATCATCATCATCATCATCATCATCATCATCATCATCATCATCATCATCATCATCATCATCATCATCATCATCATCATCATCATCATCATCATCATCATCATCATCATCATCATCATCATCATCATCATCATCATCATCATCATCATCATCATCATCATCATCATCATCATCATCATCATCATCATCATCATCATCATCATCATCATCATCATCATCATCATCATCATCATCATCATCATCATCATCATCATCATCATCATCATCATCATCATCATCATCATCATCATCATCATCATCATCATCATCATCATCATCATCATCATCATCATCATCATCATCATCATCATCATCATCATCATCATCATCATCATCATCATCATCATCATCATCATCATCATCATCATCATCATCATCATCATCATCATCATCATCATCATCATCATCATCATCATCATCATCATCATCATCATCATCATCATCATCATCATCATCATCATCATCATCATCATCATCATCATCATCATCATCATCATCATCATCATCATCATCATCATCATCATCATCATCATCATCATCATCATCATCATCATCATCATCATCATCATCATCATCATCATCATCATCATCATCATCATCATCATCATCATCATCATCATCATCATCATCATCATCATCATCATCATCATCATCATCATCATCATCATCATCATCATCATCATCATCATCATCATCATCATCATCATCATCATCATCATCATCATCATCATCATCATCATCATCATCATCATCATCATCATCATCATCATCATCATCATCATCATCATCATCATCATCATCATCATCATCATCATCATCATCATCATCATCATCATCATCATCATCATCATCATCATCATCATCATCATCATCATCATCATCATCATCATCATCATCATCATCATCATCATCATCATCATCATCATCATCATCATCATCATCATCATCATCATCATCATCATCATCATCATCATCATCATCATCATCATCATCATCATCATCATCATCATCATCATCATCATCATCATCATCATCATCATCATCATCATCATCATCATCATCATCATCATCATCATCATCATCATCATCATCATCATCATCATCATCATCATCATCATCATCATCATCATCATCATCATCATCATCATCATCATCATCATCATCATCATCATCATCATCATCATCATCATCATCATCATCATCATCATCATCATCATCATCATCATCATCATCATCATCATCATCATCATCATCATCATCATCATCATCATCATCATCATCATCATCATCATCATCATCATCATCATCATCATCATCATCATCATCATCATCATCATCATCATCATCATCATCATCATCATCAGGCTTTACTCTAACAAACGTGAATATTTATATGAAAATATTAAAATCAATTAAGGCAATTTGTGTCTATGATCGCAATGCAATTGATCGTATAAATACACATAACAAATAGAAAGTATGAATTAATCGTTAGAAGGCAGGTCTACTAGGAGGTCGTTAATAACAATGGAATAACAAAAGTTCTAGTCAATTGTTCAGTATAAGAGGTATGTCGAACATTGTTAGATAGACTTAAGAATGATAACCATTTATATTGTGAAATTTGCGTTACAAAACGTTTATAATAATGAGATATTGAAGAATGTAGTCGGAGAAAGGTGGAAAAAGAAATGAAATCGTTTATTAAATCATAACCATCTGAGGCAGAGACAGGATTGTCACAAATTTCTTCCGGACACCAAAATTATGATTATTGGTTTGGAGATGGGATTGAACTTCACTAAGAAAAGGCGAAGGTATACTATAGATCACTTGAAATGATTCAATTTCATCTATCATATGTCTACTGTCAACTAGGTGTGCCAAGATTTAGTTACGTAACTTCTTTGTCTAGCAATTTCCAAATCGAACTGAGAGATGTTCAACCAGTTGTTGGTTAAGTTACCCAATAATACGCCCATGATAGTTATCTCTTGCGGAGATAGTTACAATACTAATGACATGGATTGATTTTGTATGGCATGTGATTATCACTCATTTTTACCAGTAAACTGAATTATTTATACAAGTTTCAAACATAGTCATACTTGTAGAGTATTTTGTATGTGATATTTTTGTTGGAATGTTTAGTGCAAATAATTTGAAGTTTAAGGTGATATTTCTAATCAATTCACATCAACTAAGTCACTAGTGAACTAAGTTTTTTTATGACAAATCTTAACAAAACGATCATATACTCACTTGTCTAAAGATAAGTTTACGAGATCCTAATATTACGTTGGGGTAAAGGAATTGTTATTAATTACATTAGATAGTCATTAGATTATATCGCTGACTAGTTAGAAATATCAAGTACTGGCCAGTACACCGAACGGTTTCAAATTTGACTTTTAGCAAGTTTATGTCTAGGTACTACTGAAACCTATAATTTGTCGAAATAGTTGCCTACTGCTTATGATCTTTAAGATTTATAGACTAGTAATTTATATAGAAGATTAAACATATGTAGAGTAGTATAGATTCTTGAGACCACCCCCATCCCATATTATAATTTTTGTTCTTATTTTGTTAGCTCGATACATTATCACTAAGGTTTTTATTGAAATTCTATCACCAAATTGTACATTAATTCTTATTAACTTGATTTTATTGAAAACACTTCCGTTGAATTGTCAAAGAAGAAAGAAGAAACAAACAAACAAACATTCCTTTGAAATAGGGTATTATTTTCCTAAAACTTAAAATCGTGACTAATATTCATTGATACAATTCAAACAATATTCTTTCCACTTATTACATACAAACAAAGAAATTGTAACCATGTTCTTTCTTTTTCTTCTCTTTTTTCCTCTTTCTTTCCATCTTTTTCTTCCTTTTTTCTTTTACTTGAAAACTGTTGTTTCAATGCGCTTATATTAAATCAAAATTACACAATTGATAAGTAATTACATAGTTGCATGCAGTTTGTAGATTAACAACATATAACTATAAATAAATATGGAATATAAATTTAACATTTTCATTAGTTTGCTTTAAAAGACATATGTTATTATTATTTATTATTTTAAAACATAGATATTGGTACAAAGGGGCACCAGATACATACGCGCCACACAAATCAAATGAGATTTGTTTGAGGGCTGTGATACTGCCCGGGTGCTCAAACCAAAGCAGGTGGTTTTCTTAGAAGGCCACTCCCTGAGCCTTCGACCTGAAAGTCTGATCCACAAGGCAGTGGAGCATCGTAAGAAGATGCAGTCCGGTGACCAACGATTGGTTCATACCCCATTTATTCCTTCAGGATCCTGAAGCCGATGTACACCATTGGTTTGGAATCAGGGTTTTTCAACTCCCCTAGGCGGACTCTCCATATCTACCAACCCAGTTAAAGCGCCGAACATTCTCTTTTAGTCCTCTCAATTTCGTAAACAACACCCCCGCCACGAGAAGGCAGTGAGTAGGACTTCCTTGGCAGAGGCTATATCCGCGTGGACATGTGAGAGCATTTGGAGTGGGAGAGCGGACTCTCCTCACTCTCGGCCGTACCAGGGCATAAATGAATAAATAGAAGTAGAGAATAAATATTAGCATGTTGTCCAGGATAGGGTTGGATGGCGAATACTGGTAGGTGACTTATACTCCTCGACGACAGGTAACAAGTGTAAGTAAATAGTAAGTAAGCGAAATGATTACTTATTAGTTACTAGTGTTTTCATTTCATAGTTTACAGTTGAATTTTATAAGGAATAATATTTTTAAGGTTGAATAAATTCATTATGATGGAAAGAATAAGAGAAAAATAAATGTACCAATGAATTGATTAAGCATGAACTACAACTGTATTTTGAGTTTTTTTTCCATAATTTTTTAATTTAAGCCGAATCTTTATTGTTTTTTTTTCAGTGGTTAAGATCGTGAGTCAGTTGAAGCTAGACAACCATGGAAAACCTGGAAGCACTGGACGGCCGTTTCGTCATATTGTGGGACCCCTCAGCAGTGCGCATCCACGACCTCGCCCCCGCGAGGTTCGAACCCAGGACCTACTGGTTTCGCGCGCGAGCACTTAACCATTAGACCACTGAGCCGGCATCCAAGGGTGTTAATGTCTAACTTCAACTAATCCACGAAATTGAGCGAAACATCCACCATTGTCTCCAGTGAGTTACTATTTCACAACAGACCTGGTTGAACTCCACTGGTCACTACTTCTCACAAGAAAGTTTTGTTAAAGTTATGACAGTAAAGTGATTATTATGCTTATATACTTGTATGGGACTAAAAGGGATATTTGCTCAATGGTATAAAGGTTAGGCGCTTGCTCTAAGGACGAAGGTTCCGTGTTCGACCCCTGATTGAGTCATAAAGGAGTATTTTTGAGTTATTGTATATTGGGGGGAAACATGTATCTAGTACTTTGTGGTTATCTGATGTGACAGGATGAAAAGGCAAAATTAAATTCTTTACTCATTGTTATTTTTGATCAATAGTACTTTTGTTTAAATTCCAAGTGATAAGTACTTAGTGTAGTAATTGTTTTGTTTACCGCTATGATATTTTGTTCTGTATAAGATACAATATTCTTGTATTAAGTCAACATGAATTATCCTCAGCATGACATGCAGCAAATGATTTGTTGAAAACTCTGACTATTTTTCATATATGTGATTTCATCCTAATTGATAGTCAAAATGGTCGTACAATCAACACATAAATGAGTTTATTTTCGACTAGGGTTAATAAATTTTCACTTGTACCATTATTTGTGTTCTTACTTTCGCATCATGGGAATTGCAGTGTTTCCTTCCTTTACAAGTATAAGTGATAAGCTATTCCGGCATAACAATGAGCGACGATCAGGTATAAAAATTGGTGACGCAGTCATAACAGCTGATCACCAGTCGTAACATTCTCATTAGTTGTCTAGAGAAGATCAGTCAATGATGTAAACTATGATATTCGGCAATCTCTACAAACGTTCTAAACTAATAGAGAGTAAATACTAATGTGAAAACAACACTGGTAAATAACCATGGACTTCAAATATTTTTTACAAGTTATATGTTACAATACGCCGAAGTGATTGGAATATTTAACTCAATTGAACTAAGTGATCCTTGGTCGTAACATGAAATACGTTTCTTCAGTAGTCGTTCAGTGCTTTCAAGTTTTCAGTGATGGTCAAACTTAAATCGACTCGTGAAATCAACTGTGAAAATGCTACAATGTGTACAAACCCCATACTTTTTTATTCCTTAAATAAGCATTTATGTGAATTCTCTGAATGATATAAGCCTCTATCCAATGAGTATTTTTCAACTGGAACATAGAGAATAACATAGTTTGGTAGAAAAGCTAGACGAAATCTTCGATATAATTCAATTTCTGTAAATTAAGAATTAATTGTTGTATTACTGAGTCAATTAAGGCTAGAAAACCATGGAACACATGAGACTCTAACAGAGTGCACATCCACGATCTCGCCTTACAAGATTTGAACCCAGGACCTATCAGTCTTGTGCGCGAACACTTAACCTCTAGACCACTGATTCGGCCGGCATCCAACGGTATTAATATCTCACGTCATCCGATTCACGGAGCTGCGCCACCATCCACCATTGCCTTAAATGAGTTATTATCTCACAACAGACTCCTTTGTACTCCACTGATCACTGCTACTCACTAGAAATCAAGGAAATACCTCTTGAAACCAGTCACTAATGAGCATATATTGATTCTTATCAGAAGGATCATGGATACGCACTGCTGAAGAGTCCCATACTAGGACGAAACAGTCGTCTAGTTCTTTCAGGTTTTGCATGATGATCTAACTTTAATTAACTCATAAATTCAATTATTAAATTACTAAAATCTCCACAAAACCCCCTTTTGATAATTAAGAAATAATTCACATCATTGGATTGATCAGTTCCGATGGAAATCAATACATAAATTTCATCCTAATTCTAGTGTAGATATTCACATACTTTAACAACAGAAGTTTTATCGTTTTCACGAAAATATTAATTAAATAGTTGAATAGAACATAATTACTGAAACTTGAAAACATTCTTATTATCCATACTATCACTGTCAAAAATTGTATAAACTACAATGATTAGTGTATAAGTTGAAATATACTTTTGATTAGATGAATGCCGCAATGATGAGATAAATCGTATGCTGTCACATTTTGTAAACTACACTGAATTCAACTACACAGTTATCACAATGAGTGATAACCTATATTGTAAAATATCTATGTATGATGTTATCAATATTGAAAAAGAAAGAATTTGATATTCGGTCTAGTTATAGTAAATACTTCAAAGAATATTAAGGAAAATAAAGTCCGATA